TCCGTTTTCATCATTGTGAAAATTTATGAAATAGAGTCGTAATTACAGCCACATACAATAACATTTTTAGTGTCATCATGGACTAACTAAAACGATTGCTAATCGCGATACAAGAAAGCTTAGTCCGGGTATTTAGTACCTATTCGTACACCAGATGTCGTGACGAGTAGCAAATTGCAGTTTTTGTAACTATTTTTTTTTTACATTGACAAGCTGCAATTGATTAAAGCTACTCTAATCTCAAGTGATAACAAACAAATCAACTAGATGGCGCTTATTGCACAGATTTTATGGCTATTCTTTTATTTTGTTTTATTAGCGCCATCTATCCATGTTAAGACGAGCTAATTTTTAAATTAGTTTGTAACACACAATGCTATCTATTGATACGCATTTTATAGCCAGTGTAAACGAAGCTTAAAATAAGATGTCAAAATGTAAATCGTGTTAACGTTCAAAATTAAATATTTTTAAAAATTCATATTTTTTTTCTCCAATTTATTTCAAAGTCTTGTGAATGAAGCTTATATTATTTTATAAAGTCTATTTAAATATATTATTTTAGCTTTATAGTCCATTTGTTTAGGCATTAGGCACTTAACTAAATGTAAACAATCTTGTGATGTCTATTTAATGAAATATACATTTATAAAATTAGTAATTATAGAAATGCATATCTATTTTTATACCTATTCATTTGTAAAGTATATGTTTCAATAAAAAGATGTAATCAAGATTGTTTACATTTAGTTAAGTGTCTAAACAAATGGATTATAGAAATTATTTTATCTAGCCGTAACACAGTTTCGACTACCACGGAAGGCAAAGAGCATTTTTGTTATAATACCGCCAAGAGTGTATGAATGACTTCTATTATTAAAACACTCGTATAAAGTTAACTGTCCGTTATATTTTCTTAAACCGTTATATGGTATTGTAAACATTTGGATAAAATAAAAAATATTATTATTTTCAACCGGTAGCGACTAAAAAAATTCAAATTCAAAATGGGCATTGTTCTTTATTTGAGTCAATTCACTGAATAGCGAAGTGTGTGGAATCCTGAGGATGAACACATTCGGACGGAACTTATCAGGGCACGGTTATTTGCACAGGTTGGTTTCCGTACATTTAATGTTGGGTGGTTTCAATCCGTGTTGTCAGAGATGCCGCGAAGGTTTTCTATTTATACATACTTGGTTAGGTATAGCGATGCGCGTTAGCGTATGATTTCAGTAATTTTTAGGTAAGTTTTTTGTACTCAATTTTGGTGACAATTTATTTTTGACAAAATTTTTATTGAATTGATATTCAATTATTTTTGTGAAATTACTCCACTAGTTTGTTATAATTATTAATACAAAGATCGAACACTCAGAAAAAATTCCTTCGATCCGGTTGGATTCGAACCGACGTCTTCTTGCATACCGTGCCAGACGCCATACCAACTAAGCCACGGAACGAACCAACGGACCTCACGAATTTTTCTATGTGCTTGCGTCGTGTCTTTGTATTTGGTTTTTCAACGACTTTTTAGTCGTAGCGCCATCTATGAGAAATCTGTGAAAGATTTATCACCCAGTTAGTGCCTTTTTTTATTTTTTTATTTTATTTAATTTATTTTTGTTTAAATATGTATAGAATATCATCATGAAGTATTATTTAACATCCGAGTGTGGTAACCCTAAATATTCTTTAGTATTTGACGATGATATATTCGAGCAATAAACATTAAAAATTGTCACCAAAATTGAGTACAAAAACTTATCTGAAAATTACTGACTTCGATATTTGACTTATTAGTAATCACTAACCCTGTCACTCGAATGACAAATTAGTAACCTACAAATTTTTGTGGCCGAATGATCTGAATGCTCATTCGTTACTAATCGATAGATTCAATAGAACACAATCACGGAAGAAACAATCAATGGAAGTGACTTAAGCCTAGATTCCTATCAGAACCGATGTCGCCATAACTCACACATTCTTCACTTGAAACACTACAAAATCTTGATGTTGAGTGGTCGTAGTTTCAAATTTAAAAGGAAATAACGAGTTCTGGACTGTTAATATAATTTAACCTTTATCCTATTGACATATATCGTTCAAAGTTCAATACCATCAATAACTATTATTACACATTACGTGAGGTTCGTTTTGATATTATATTGAAATTTCAATCAATGTGCTGCCATCTAGCGATTGATTTGTGAACCACGGCGAATTGGAGTTATTAATTTAGTTTTCCTAACAAGAAGCGACCATATTGCAGCTTATACCCCAGCTATCGTTTCTTGTAACAAAAAAAATATTTCGATAAACAGAAAATTTAAAATTTATGAAAAATAAGACTTTACGGTGATGGAAAATACCACCACGGGTGCGGCCATCATTTTTGCACTCCAAAATAGCATAATAAGGTATTTTTTTAGTGTTTTAGAGAATTTGCACGAAATAATGACACAACCACAATATACAAAGCTAAAATGGCGGACTGAGCTCAGACAGGTCTTTCGAGACCTATAGTTGGCATGCGTCGGACGCTAACTAATCACTTCTACTGTATTTGTTGCTCTGTGAGCACTACGATACTCATGATCACTAGCCTTCTCTATCATAGGTGGTAAATATTGTAAATGTGACGGGGATATTTTGACATGGACATGGTGTGGGGTAGTTCCTACGTAATCATTCTACTCGTGCACCAGACCGAATGGCAGGGGCATTCGGTATCGGTAATAATTGTGCTTGGATTCGTAGACGAATGATTTGTCCATTCGAATGATTAGTATTTAGTAACATGTCGCGCATCACTAGTAATCTGTTTGGATTTTATTATGTGTTTTTTTGAATGTAATATTTTTATTTTGGGAGTATGAAATGTATGTTGTTGGATGTTCTTTGATAAATAACACAAGTATCTGAAAGCGCTTCAGCTTTCCCAGGTCCTAGGATAAGTCCTGTCGCTCTCTCGTTAGGTTTCAGCTATCGTTTCCATCGTTCAATTCCGGTTTTTATTCTCCTTTACTGTTCAGGCGGTCAGACTTTGGAACGCACTTCCCATTACTGTACATGACAGTAAATCCTTAGCTATCTGTAAAATGAGAGTCAATGAGAACTACATATTTTCCGTTCCATCCTTTTTATACATATTATAATATGATATATGGATTCATTTAAGTATTTATAATAGTCTGTAGTAATTTTATATTTTTGTTATTATTTTTTTCATTATTTTATTACATAATTTAATTTAATTTTGTTGTGCACATAAACTTGTTATTGTAATTATTGTGTCCTGTTTTTTGGTCTGCCGGAAGAAATTTCGTTTAGAAATAAGCAGTATTTTTCGTTTGTGTTTTTAGTTTTACTGAATGTGATTTGTGTTTTTCTGTACAATAATGAAATAAATAATGAAATAAATAAATAACTAGTAATCAAAATCCTCTGTTTCTGCACCAATTCACTCGAAATAGCAGCTCTCTGAAATGTAATACGTGTTATTAAATAAATTTAAAAACGATTCTAGTTACAAGCAATTATTAAAATGTCATTGAAATAATTTATTATAGATACAAAATTGATAACGTAATGGACAAAAGATAATGTATCTGTAATGAGACAATGGGTCATTTATTTCACTCAAGTGATTAGATAAAAACAAAAGACTGTCAACTATTTTTAACGTCACACATCGTTTATATCGACGTACAATTTGCAAGATTTTTCATTTTCTAATTAAAATATCAGTGAACCCAGTGAAAAATGAAAAAAATACTTCTACTTTTTTTATGCTTTTTGACATGTTGTCTCGCTACTCCTTATGACTACCATGAAAGAATCGGTGTTCCTAGAGCAACTGAATTGCGTGATGCTGAAATGAAGACCTGGGTGTCGAGGATTATTGGTGGAAACCAGGTTGAGAATATGATTCCGCATCAGGTGAGTGTTTAAACATTGAGTGAGATTAATGAAAACGTCAGTGAGTAATTCCCAAAAACTAATTAATGTCGAAATTGAGATAACGTCGAAGAAACATGGCGGATGTCGATTGTAAACAGTTTTTTGAATTCTTTGTGAATGACGAATTTTGTATCATAGATGGACATTGTCAGTAGTTATTGTTAATAATTTGATTTTGAGGATAAACGTAAAGCGTTTATCCTCAAAATCGCTACGTCTTTTTCGGCTGCTTCCAAATTTACCGCTAAACTGTAGGCGCTTAACTGATCCCGCAAACCTTCTTCTAGCCAATTACCAAACACGCACGTTTTAGACATCTTTTTGAGTGTAGCTACGCATTCTAGAATACTCTCCCCTGCCTTCTGTGTTCTCTGCCGAAATTTATATCGTTCGTCTAGTTCACTCGGTTTCGGTTGTAAATGCCTTTCCATGATATCCACAATCTGTTGAAATGTTTTGTCTTTCGGCTTCGTAGGCGTGCACAAATTCACTAATAATTCGTAGCTTTCCGTACCCATTACCGTTATAAATGTCGGTACGTGTAACGTGTAACCTACACCTCGTTCACTACGTAATATTGCTTCAGCCGTTTCACATAAATTCTCCAGTCATCTTTATGGATATCGAACTCAGATATTCTCTCGACCGAGCCCTTCATTGTTTTCACTGCACAGTCACCACAATTTGCACACAAAATGCCCGAAAAATCAATCTCAATCAGGTTTATAGGCAGGCAGCCGTTACAAATTCATTTCCCTTGTATAACATTCTGAGGGTCGTATTCCAGAACTCTACTCAATGCTCAAGTCAGGATTTGAGCAGACTTGAGTATGATTTCAAGCACTGGAAATACGACCCTAATGGCAAGGACTTGAGTATGATTTTCAGTACTCACTGCAATACTCAAGTCCTGACTTGAGTGTTGAGTAAAGTTCTGGAATACGACCCTAAGTCTACCTACATAATTATTTTATTAATAATTATCTATACACCTACATTACAATTTTCCTTTGCTAGGTAGGCATCATAGTAATGCTAACAACTGGCTGGACTTCAATCTGTGGTGGGGCGCTGGTCTCCAACATCAGAGTCCTCACAGCAGCCCATTGCTGGTACGACGGTCGCAGTCAAGCCAGGCTCTTTACTCTGGTCTTCGGGTCTACTACAATCTTCTCGGGTGGCACCAGGGTACCGACTTCGAACGTTGTCGTCCATCCTTCTTGGAATACTGTTGATGTGACCCATGACCTTGCTATGGTGCACATGCCTAGTGTTGTTTTTAGCAGTTCGTATTGTTCACTTATTTTTTATTACGAATGGATTAAAAAATGATTTTGTGCACTTTTTAGTGGTATGACGATCTTGGGGCGCAATGGTTTGAACTGTGGTCGCTGGATGTGCAGTTAGTTCGTTTGAAACAAATATATTGAATTTAGATTTAAAAAAATTTTTGAATATCATGATGTTTTTGCAACCATGATATACATACTTTTTTAACCGACTTCGAAAAAAGAAAGGTTCTCAATTCGACTGTCTATATATTTTTTATATGTATGTTGTATGTATGTTACGCAATTTTGATTTGATTTTAACTCCGGCTTTTAAAAAATTCGTGAACTGATTTTCATGATTCAGTTTTTGTGAAAGAGGGTACCTCAGTGTTGGTCCTATTTAAATTTGAAGAAAATATTCCACCTCTAAGGGTGGCAAACTAGGGGATGAATCCGGTTTCGCGCACTTTCCGGTAACCGATTTCTATAAAACTTGGCAAATAGATGCAATGCCACGAACCTTTGAGGTCGGCTTTTCTAGTACTCTATACTGAGATTATCGTACCAATACTCCACTACTTTGTTATTATTGTTACAAAGTCGAATAAAAACAAAGAAAATGTCCTTGTATCCGACTGAACTCGAACTGTTGCCACTTTGATTCGTGTACAGTCGGAACATAGGAATGTTTCTTTGTCATTGTTCGATGTTGCATCAAAAATAAATAATTTCATATCCAAACATACTATTTTCAACTCACATAATAAGGGGAACACGACACTATTCTCAGATACTATTATGCCGATTCCCTTGCCGACAATGGAGGAGGTGAATGACAACTTTGCTGGACTTGATGCTATCGTATCAGGTTATGGAAAAACTAGTGACGGTAAGTACAGCCATAATTTATTTACAAATAAGATAATTTCGAAAAATTTATCAGTTATCTTCTCATAAAAACGATACTAATTTTTCTTTATTGATTTTATTATCAAGTGACGGGACGAACAAGTCGTGCGCCTGAGGGTAAGCGACACGCCTGTCCGTAACAGTTGCAGGGCACGGCCACTGCGCCCGTCTCTCTGAGACATAGGTTGACAAGTCTCATGTGCCTGTTATTTCACCAGCACCCTTACCCTTCAAAGCCGTAACACAGTAATGCTGAAATTACTGCTTGGCGGCAGAAATAGGCAATGTTTGTGGCAGTACTTCCCTGAGTGAACCCTTCCATTGCCACTGAAATTGATTTTTTGTTTGAATTTATTAATAAAGACGTTTAACTTGAGGTGCTAAACGACGGTTATATAGGTTGATATTTAAAAATCTGCTATTACCCCGTTTAAATAGTGAAATAAAAACTTTATACTGAAGCTTCCGCGTACTAGGATGACAAAAATCCACGATATTGACCCATTTACCTCTTTTAAACTGTTTCTAGTTATGGATGTTTGAAAGAAATTTTGTTAATAGATAATAAATATGAAGAGATAAATGTATATTTAGAAAGAGTAACAAATTTTAATATGGAAGAGAAATAAATATTCTACTAATTGAAGGTAGAAAATTTCATTAAGGCTTTGGCGGAACTACCTGCCGGTCTTCAGGCCGTGTTGGATGCTACAACTAAAAAAAAAAATAAAGACTCTATAGCTTGAAGAAATAAAGATATGCGTCTCGGTGGCACGATGACCTACATCAAGTCAGCGTTTTTGAACTGAGTATACTTGTGTTCTGCCCTTGGATATTAAAACATCATTTCGCAGCCTAAATAATAAAGTGGTACCTTTGGTATAATACAGCCACACGTTCACACGTCAAAAATGCTTTTATCACAAGAAAGATATAAAAATAATACAAATTATATGAAACCAATTGTGTGTATGTGAAATTTTATAACTCTCCTATTTAAGCAGAAAAAGTTATCGATAATTAACTTAAGTAAAATTGCACTCCAACATGACATATCACACATACACACACGGACACGCACATACATACACATACACACACATATACATAAATACATTGCCTATATAACATTTAGTATGTCGAAGTTAAGGCCGGAAAGGGAGAAGTCGAAAGAAACACCCTAAACGCAGATATAGTTAGGGATAACTTGATAATCGGCTTATTCACTCTTCGTTATCAATTCGTTCAGTCGGCGGTGAAAGAGTAACGTCAACTGATTGCAATAGGTTGTTTTATGCACTTTTCACAGTAATTAGTCCGAAAGTATAAGAGATGGATAAGGTTAACACGGATTCTAAATATCATCACGCGGCAAGTTCAGAGAGAGCGAGGCGGTACGTTTTCACTTTCCAAGCAAATTACACAAAAAGCCTCTTCTCTCCGACCATACCCAGTTTGAGCTGTCAAACTGACGTGACATTTGCAAACAAAGAAACCACACAGCACACCAAAGACCCTAGTAAATCATTTATCTAATAAATTACGTTTGAAGTGATAGCTGGCTCCGACTAGTATATAAACACAGGCCCACACATACATACACTTACAACAAAACATACTAACAATTGTTTTCTAATGTAATTAAAACTAATTTAACAACAGTTAATTTTCATTTTTGCTTTATTTTTTAACTGTTTAAGTACACGCATCCTCTTGTCTTATGCATATATTTCTTACGCTTGCTTGGAGGTGGAAGGGTGAGAGCCTGGTGAACTATAACGCAGGTTAATCCTAGTATAGATACCGGACTTCCACAAACGAAACTATATTTAAGAACATGTGAGTACCATAGGCATGTATAAGTTTCTCTTGTGAAAGTCAATAAAGACATTTTAATTTCGTTCATATAATCGTTATTATTTTCTCTTGATAAGTAGTCATTCTGCAGATGTGGCCTTATAACACTAAGGGTGTATAAAAATGGGTGTTAAAAATAGGATTTTCATATTAAATAGAATTTTGTCAGATTTTTGTATCACGTGATGTCACTTACACTTTTTTATAAACCTATGTTAATGAGAAGAAACAACGAATATCACAAATGACAAAAAATAAGACATATTATCAACATTTTAAAACGTATAATGCAAATGAATAATTACATAACAAAATCACAAACAAAACAAAATAAAAAGACAGCTTTTTTACAGAAACAAGGACACCAAGAATAAATAATGTGGTAACAAAAGGGTGACTCATTCAGTATTTACTGGAAAGCGCAAAAATTTGTAATTATCTCAAAAACATCCAATTTTGTATTGAAGGCACGTTTTATTCAACAATCCATGCAAATAATAATAAGTAATTGGTATTGGTGCAACGGGCTAGTTTCCGCAATTCGACGTCGAGGCGCCTATTTTGCGTGTGGAATAATAAGTAATATATGTCGTGTAACCATAGCATTATTTACTGTACTATATAGTTACACAATCGACATAAAGATTATTATGCTATGGTACAATTGAATTGGTTGAATTGATTGTAGCGCAGGGTAAAACCTAAGGTACTAAAATGTACGCTGGCAACTGTAAAACTATACTTGGCAGACCGCAAAGTACAGGTTGTCGTTGGCATGTGGTTTTCACCAACGGAGTGGGTGAGCCCCTTTAATTGAATTGTTTAGATTACGGTGGTGGCAGCTTTGGTAACCGCGGTCGCCCAGTACCGTTAAGTACCTAGGGTTCGGTCCTCGATACCGTAGTATAATATGACACGTATAGTAACTAACATAATAATGCAACAACCTTATATTCCGGTCGAAATTTAGGCATTTACGCGCTGAACAGGCTAGTGTTGCCCTACTTGCTCTTATTATACTCCTTCCAACCATTTACTTTTGACAGCTCGAATCCCTTAGTGAAGTCCTAATGCGTTTCCGATTAGATTTTTTTTACAACAATCGATTTTATTTATGGATAAGTTTTAATAGTGAATGTGAGCTGGTTTAAAAAAGAAGATATTGCTTGAAAAAACGCGGGTAGGCGCTTAAGTGAACACACGAAATATTTTCTGCTCCCAAATTTTTTTTATTTAAAAAATAGTAAATGTGTATATATTTCAAAATTTAATTCACTGGCACTTAGGTTGACTGTCTCCTAACTCTCACACAACTTTCTCTCACTTTATCCATCTTCTGTATAATGGACGCCTCAGCAGAGCAGCTCATGAAGAGTATTCATGAATTATCTTCGCTGTTCAATAGCAGGATGGGCGAATTCGAGAAGAATATTCAGCAGCCCGGCGCTAACACAACGGTGAAGAGTCTTACAGCGGACTTCTACACTTTTAAGTCCTTTGTTTGGAAAACCATTGGCATGCTAAAATCCCAGGTGGAGCTCCTGCACATCTCCTTTGATCGTCTTGAGATGCACTCCCGCAGGAAGGTCTTGCTTTTTCATGGAGTCAAGGAGGATGTTGGGGAAGACACTTGCAAGAAAGTTTCGGTCATATTATCTGACCAATTGAAGTTGTCCGGCATTAGTAACGAGGCATTTGAATCTTGCCATAGATTGGGTGCTAAAAGGAACACAGCCCGGCCTATATTGGTTCGTTTTACCACTGTGCATCTACGGTCCATGGTGTGGAAAGCTAAAACCTGTGTTAAAACTGCGGTGCTAAAACTCTTGAAGATAAGCTTTCTAATATATTTAGCAATAACTCCAAATTTCTTTCCCTAGTGCATATCAACGCGCAGAGCATTCCCGCTCACTACAACGATCTTCTCACATCTTTTAGCGCCGGCGTAGTTGATAGTATTCTCGTATCGGAAACTTGGCTGAAGCCTTCATTACCTTCGACTAGCTGTTCCATTCCAGGCTACAAACTCTTTCGCAATGACCGTACGGGCTGCGGGGGTGGTGGTGTTGGTGTTTACCTACGTAGCCACATTCCTGCTGACGTTGTTTGCAGTTCTCAGTCACAGTATACTGGATCTTTGGAATATCTGTTTCTTTCAGTAGTAGTCCACCATAAAAAAATTCTGCTTGGTGTTTTATATAGCCCAAATGACAAAACAGACTACTTTAACACCTTGGAAGGTACTCTTGTAGACTTGGTTCCCCTTTTTGATCATGTTGTTCTTATGGGCGACCTAAATACTTGTATTCTCAAGAATAACTACCGTTCGGATAAGTTATTAGCTTTGACGTCTGCGCTTGATCTCCAAGTGCTGACGACATTGAAACCGACCCATTACTTCCCTAACAGCAGACCTTCCCTGATTGACTTAATGATTGTTTCTCACCCTAAGCTGGTCCTTTCGCATGGGCAGATGGATGCTCCTTTTTCACATCACGATTTAATTTTTCTCTCTTACAGAGTGCGTCCACCTAAAGTTAAAGGAAAGGTCCGTCTATTGCGCAATTTTAAGCATATGGATCTTGTTCGTTTGAGAGAGGATATTGGTCGGGTTGACTGGTCTTTGCTTTTTTCGTCTGACAGTATTGACGTTAAGGTTGATATTCTTAATACTGAACTTGTAAAAATTTATGACTCTCATGCACCAGTACGTCCAGTACGTGTCAGACACGCACCAGCTCCTTGGCTTTCGCCTGAGATTAGAAGGGTTATGGTGAAGCGTGATAGAGCCAAGTGCCGTCTAAAACGTGAGCCCTCTCTATTAAACCTCGAAGCCTATAAGAAGTTACGAAATCTCTGCAACAGAATGTGTAGGGATGCTAAACGCCGTTATATTCATTCCACCATTCAAAATCTTTCTCAGGCTCAGGTCTGGAAATTTTTGCATTCTATTGGCGTGGGCGAGTCCATGGATGTTTGTCAAAGCAACGTGGATCTCAATGCCCTAAATTCTCATTTTTCGACTCCCCCTGTCATTCTTAACCATCTTACTAAATCCAGTACCCTTTCTTCTCTTTCTAATCTTGTTCCACCTGTTTGTCCCCCTTTTACTTTTAACATGGTCTCAGAAGAAACTGTAATGAAATGTGTCCGCTCAATCTCCACCAAAGCCATCGGCAGTGACAATTTGAGCCTCGACATGATTCTACCTGTGTTGGAGGACATTGCACCTGTTGTTACTCATATCATAAATTATTCTCTCTCGCGCAATGTTTTTCCAGCACAATGGAAAAAGGCTTTTGTTATACCTCTCCCTAAAATCCCAAATCCTACATCACTTTCACAATACCGTCCTATTTCTATTCTTCCTATCCTCTCTAAAGCTCTTGAGTCCATTGTCCATAGACAACTTTATTCTCACCTCGTCTCCCATAACCTTTTATGTCCATATCAGTCTGGCTTTCGTCCATCTCATAGTACTGTTAGTGCTTTACTGAACATTACTGAAGACATACGTCATGCTATGGATGAAACGAAGCTCACTGCTATTGCTTTGTTGGATTTTAGTAGTGCATTTAACTCCGTTGATTTGGACATTCTCATGGGTACTCTTCAGGCTGTTAATATCTCCTCTACTGTCCTTAGTTGGTTCTCTTCTTATCTCTTTGGTCGCCAGCAGTGTGTGAAAACTAATGATGGCTCGTCATCCTGGTCTAATTTAACTGCTGGTGTACCTCAAGGCGGCGTACTTTCTCCCTTACTCTTTTCAATTTTTATTAATAATATTTCCCGCGTAATTTCTTCTCCCTTCCATCTGTATGCTGACGATCTTCAACTCTATCGTAACTTTAAGGTAGGTGAGGTCTCTGAGGCAATTTCGGCACTGAATTTCGATTTGTTGGCTATCCAGTCATGGGCTAAGTCGTTTGGCCTCTTAATTAATCCTGCTAAGTCGCAGGCCATGATTGTTGGTAGTAGCAGAATAAGATGCAAGCTTGATTGGTCCTTAGTACCTGCGTTGGTCTATGATGGAACGTCCATTGCATATACTGACAAAGCCAAAAATCTAGGCATAATAATGGATTGTACCTTGTCTTGGACCTCTCATGTTAATGAGGTCAGCAGGCGTATGCACCACTCATTTCACTCCCTCAAACGACTCCAATATTTTCTCCCTTTTCATACTAAAATTATGCTAGCGCAAACTCTTCTTCTCCCCATACTTGACTATGCCGACGTTTGTTATTTAGATGTGACCGTGGAGCTTTTAAATAAATTAGAGCGCTTACAAAACCTGGCTATTCGGTTTATTTTCGGTCTCCGTAAATATGATCATGTTTCCGAATTTCGTGCTCGGTTAAATTGGCTCCCAATTCGTCTTCGCCGTGATGTGCATATCCTGTCCACTATTTATAATATACTTCGCGACCCTAACTCCCCACCCTACCTTCGTTCCCGGTTCCAGCTGCTGCCCCCTCCCACCCGCTCTAGACGTCCCTGCATCACTAAGACGCTCGTTCAGCCCAGCTGCAATACTAATTTCTTTTTTAACTCCTTTTCTTGTCGTGCAGTGCAGTTGTGGAATAAACTCCCTTCCCACATCCAGGCGAGCCCGTCGATTGCTTCTTTCAAGAAAAGTTTGAAAGCGCACTTTCTTGCAGAACTTTCTTCGTAATCATCTTATTGTTTCTTAATTATTATTATTTTTTTATTATTATATATTTATATATATCTATATATATTATGATGATGCTATTTATTATACGTTATTTATTGTATTTATTTATAATACTTATGTGTGTATCGGTATTTATACAAATTTTTTCGATAGTTTATAGTATTTCACCCTCTCTATCTTGCACGCTGTTGCCCGCTTACAACTTACGCTCTCACCACCATAGGTTGACTGGAAGAGATCTCTTTTAGAGATAAGTCCACCTTTGCTCACTTTTGTTCACAGATTTTTTCTTGTTGTTTGTTTTTTTTGGTGCAATAAAGAATATATTGTCTGATTGGGATCGTGATATTGCGTTTGACATTTTGTATTCTCAAAAATTAATTATGTGGTAAACATGCAGTTTGAACTGAAAAAGTTTATTGGAACTTAAACTGTCTGCATATTATTACTATTTATTACACAAAAGACACAATGTACGTACAAGGCACAAATACACTATGCAAAAACGAAGAGCGTGCATGTGCGCGGAGTCTGTCAGTACGCGATAGTCTGTTCTCGCCTCGGCGACTAGCGCGAGGAGGGAAAATGATACCATATTATAATTAATATTACTGAGGGTTCAAGTGATTATTCGCGTATGTGGAGAAGAATCCGATGATTAATTAAATAAAGAATAATTATAATTCTATATAAAACATAATATACAACATGTATAATAATTATAATTCGTCTTCTTCTTCCTGCCCTTATCCCATGCTCACACCTTTCTTAAAATTATTTATAATTTATTTAATTTCATTGTAATTTAAGAGACAAGTATCAAAACGTATCGACTTTAATAATCTTCGTTACATAACCTGTTAACTTAATAATTATCGAAGCTAAATCGCACATCTCTTTGAAAAATAAAATACACCAACAGTAAAATTTAAAAAAAGAATACAGGCAGTATTGTATTTTTTGCCTATGGTTGTATGTCAATAATTAGGGAACTTGGGAGGCATGCATATGCCAAAAGTTAAATAAATGGTTGGCCGGAGTATACGAGTATACTATGCCGATAACGTGCATGAAAGGGAGAGTTACTTATCTTGTCATAGGTGAGCTTAGTTAGCATTTCCGGAAAATTTCGAAATCGCATTAAAAATTCTCTTTTCACCTCACTAGCTCGAAAATGCTTCTTTCTCATTAGAAATCTGCGCGCAAGAGCGTTTATTTCACGCTAGCGTGGAAAAGGTTTTTGAAATTCAAACTTGACGATGGGCTGTCGTGCACCCAACATTTTTTTTTGTTGAAAAAAGGTAATGTCACGTTTAATTATGATTTGTCGTACATTACATAATTATATAATATAAATCTGTTGTTATATTTTATTCTCACTGTTGTTGACATTAAATTGACAATGATAAGTAACTAATAGTGTTTATTAAATCATTTTAATTCGTCGAAGAACTAAAATAATTTCAATGATCACTTAATCACACAAAATAAAAGTACAAGCAAGAATTAAAATTTATGAGCTGTAAATTCAGAACGCATCCGAAGGTAAACATCTTCTTTTAGCTAAATAAACAGATGTATATATAGAGCGCAACTGTTTTTCTTTCATCTACCATTTTCCTGGTAGATGAAACTTATTTTTCTATTAACTAACTATTACTGTTTCGCTCGGCAGCAAAGCTGTTTTGCGTCTCGTGCTTTGAAACCCTCGCTACGCTCGGGAATCTATTTTAAGGTAGCATATTCCTCTCGATCGTATGCTTAATTTTTATGCCCACCAAATTTATGGGTGACTCAACAATCTCAGGCCGTGAATCGAAATTTGAAATTTAGTCTTCGTTACTACCTACAGAATTCTAATTGTATTCTTGTTTAAAATTTCATGCATATCGGTGAGGAACGGCCCAGTCATTCCATCCGTAGATTGTGTAATCTGAGTGTATGCCAAGCTTCGCTTGCTGCGTTTCTATAAATGAATGAAATTACTATTAGCATTAACAATACATTAATTCAAGTATATTTTTTTTCTCAGCCTATTTTACGACTGTACATAAGAAATAATTTTTGCACACTTAGGCTCAATATTTATGTTGCGGTGGATCTTTTGTAACGATATTGTACGTTCAAACTAGATACGAGCCAAAACCATTCTCAGTATCGCTACGAAAATTTGCTTCCATTCCGTTCCGCCGCAATATAAATTGAGCCTTAACTATATTATCCGTACGGTTTAAAAACAAAATTCGTAGGAAATTTTTTTATGTTTAAATAGAAAATTTATAAAAGTTTTTTAGCGCGCTGCTATTACAATAGTGTTATAACTCAACATGTGTGAAATTCAAAATTATACCATTTCTGAATGTAAAATTTGATTCTCTACCCGTCTATAAAACCGTCGTTAGAATATTGGAAGAAACAATTAAAATATATCTAGTTAACTCAAAATGAGACAAGCTTTATGTGAGCTAGTTCTGGCCAAAATTGTCCTTATTCAAAAATATGAAACTATTTCTTCTCTTTTATTTTTAAATATATATATTTGGCAAGTATGAAATAACTTATACATTAATTTACACAGATCTTTCACGGAAAGCGAGTAATTCGTTTTTCGTCGATTCTGAGAAAATACACTTTTTGAGTTATTACACTATTGTATTAATAGTGCGATATATATATAATTTTTTTTATGACTTTCATATGATAAAGTCACGTATGATCACATATGGCTTTTTTATACCATGGATATGACATATCGTTCATTTTAATTACATTTTTTCTGCGTAGTATTTCGCTGCTCCGAGTAAGTGGCATTTCCGCTTTCAAATTGCATAGTAAATGTTTATTAAAAAATCACCATTACTTTTTACCTGAAATACAGGAATTTCCTAGTTCAGGTACATGTGTTATTTTTACATTAAATCGCATAAGTAGTCTTTAGTTTTCTCTGTACATTATGTTACTGAATAAACAATTTTATTTTATTTTTTTATTTTACCATTGTTTTTTTTTACTGTTGCAGCCCAAAACAGCTTTCCAATCACAACCTCTCTGTATCATACCACTGTGAGAATAATTACGAACGCGGACTGTCAGAGTAGCTTCAATAACTATAATTTGCACGTTGGCCATCTTTGTACCAGCGGGCAGGGAGCTGTTGGTACCTGTGACGGGGATTCCGGCGGGCCCTTGACTGTTGTGAGAAATTCTAGGAGAATTTTGGTGAGTTTGTTTATCAATTAAAGCTGCCCTCCCTCCTTCACAAACAAACCGACGTTTCGAGCCCTTTACAGGTCCCATGGTCACGGTTGACCAGTCATCAGTCAAGTGTGTAACAATCGCGAAACCCTAAGAACTCATTGCATCAATATTAGACATAACTGGTTGATGATTGTACCACCTCAGTCAACCGTGATTATGGGGCCTGTAAAGGGCCCGTAACGTCGGTTTGTTTGAAAAAACAAATATACGCGATATAAATCCGGAAAAATAGTTTCATTTCCAACTAGTGGAGTACTTTTACAAAAAATAGATGAATATCATAATACAATTTTTACTTACAAAAGAAAATATCATGGCCCTTTAGAAAACAAAATTAGCAACAGTAGCATCTACAATCTACAATTACTAGTAATACCGTTAGCACCCTGGCTCGAGTTAAGTCTATGATAAGTCGATGATCCGAGTATATAACCAGAAATATAGACGAAATGTCAGTTAATTTGTTTGAAAACTATTCTGCTAAGTATATCAAAGCGAATACAGTGATCGTTTGAACTACTTTCATATGTTTTCATTAGAAAAACGTAGGTGGATGAATGATTTACGTGCACTGCACAAAATTGCCAATGGTTTTTCTCACGATGGCTTAATAAGGATGCTACTGTTCAGGGTGCCGACTCGGTCTGTGCGTAATCAACGACTATTCAGTATACCCATTTCAATAAACAATGTATCAACGACTATTCAGTATACCCGTTTCAAAAATATGTATATATCACAAAATAATCCTCTAAATAGGATGTGTGGGTATTATAATGAAATATGTACTAATTGTGATATCTTTAACTGCAGTGTCCCAGCATTTAAGAGGTCACTGCTAGCATTAATGCATAGCATATTCTCATTCTCTCTATTTTTTATTTCACTCGATTTTTTTTTATGATTGATTTAGTGTCTGTTTAAGTATATCTAAATGTTTTAAAATGAATGTTGAGCACAGTAATAATTGGGCACAGATAAGCCTGTTGTATTAATTTTTAAGTGTTTTTATTTTACTCACTTTCTGTATCTGATGTCTGTACATTGTGCCATAAATAAAAAAAAAAAAATAAAAAAAAAAAAATCATAACGGTGACAACTGCGCTCTGATTGGCCAGCTCGAGTTCGAAACAATTGACGAGTGTCGTCAATACTTTCACTTCAAATCGACTAGTTTAACTTGAGCTTTGCTATAATGGAACGGAAATTGCAAAATTACATATTTAATAATTAATTATCGATGAAAAGTGATTCCGCTTGTTTTGTAATAAGATGTTTTGCTGTTTTTCCCACACCACCGAAAGGAACAGCCCCCATTGTTAGAAATATTATCATTATTAAAATAAATACAGAATATTTTTGGAATATACGGAGACGTACACACAGGTCAGTTATTGGCGCTGTACTATTTCAGTTTTCTAATTTGTGATTTCAGTGCAAACGAGAGTTGATATATAAAAGTGATATAAGGCCATTTGTCTGATGAGTTGTCAGGGATGGATGGCCATTATTTCGTCTCTAAGTCGGTTCGAAGAAATGTTTCTTTATGTTTGTACAAACTAGTGAAGTTTTTTTTTTTTTTAACGCACACACACACACTCAACATAGCCCCGCACTAGGGAAACCCTGTGTCGCAGGTGCCATGGACACACACATAGACAGCCACAAATTACACCCAAACTCACGAGAGAAATAAATGTACGCCATACAAACATTTCTCCCGGCCTGGGAATCGAACCTGGGACCTCTGCGTGGCAGTCCGGCATGGTAACCGTTCGGCCACGGAGGCAGTTGGATAGTTGGATAGAAGATGTTGATGATGGTGATACAAAATACAAAATCTTGTACCATTATATAAACAATTTTCAGGTGGGCATAGTGTCCTTTGGGCCCGGTGAAGGATGCGAGCAGGGTCTACCCTCTGTCTACACCAGGGTAACTGCTTTCCTCAGCTGGGTTCAAGCTAACTTGTAAACATTTAATAAAATTTATTGCCCAACTCGTTGTTTATGTTTTATTTTCAGAACCTACACTCATTATTATTGATTTTATCAGTACTTAATTACAGTTTCTAATTAAGCTATGATAGTTAATTAAAGGTAAGTTTACACGAAGTGTTTTGCTTCCACATTTGGAGTGGAATTCCCTGCCTGTAGACTTGTTCCCCGAACGCTATAACTTGGACCTTTTCAAGGCGAGAGTGAATAGGCACTATTTAGGTGTGCATGTCGTCACCCAGTAAAATCCGCCCGGATCGAATGATTTTTTTTCTGAGTGTTCGATCTTTGTATTAATTATAATAATATAGTATTTTATGCGATCGTTCCATAAAGAGGGTTCCTAAAGTCTAGTACCGCGTTTAAAGTTACAGTGTTGTCTAAAGTAACAGGTACGACATCTTCATACCTAATTATGTAATGATTGCATTTATTTCTACGAGAAAATAATGAGACACAACCAATATTTAATGTATACTTTGTTAACAATCCATGACAACAAATTTAAACAAAAGCCGAACAAACGCCACATAACAAAAAAAGAACAAAAATATAGAATAGAAGTGGCCAAGTACCGTTTATTATTTTAACCCAATGTTTTAACCAATGTTTTTTTTAAAGGTTCAAGACCTGTAGACTAATTTAACATTGTAATTAGGAAAAATAAAAAACGTTCTGTTTTTGTAAACCATTTTATGTTTTCAGCTCCGTAGCAAGTAACATAGATAGAACAATAGAATTTTGAGTTCTTACGGTTTCGTGATCGTTACACACTTGACTGATGACTGGTCAATCGTGACTATGGGGCCTGTAAAGGGCCCGAAACGTCGGTTTGTTTGAAAGAACAAATATACGCGATTTAAATCCGGAAAAATAGGTTCATTTCCTAATAGAATTTTGATTCATAATTGAAAAGTGCGCATTTGTTATGTTGTGATAGCACACACCACCATAAATATTTTTATGAACGACAGCACGCGAGAGGTGTTTTAAACGACTTACCACAAATTAGGTACATTTCTAAAAAGTGTCACTTATTGAGACAAAAACTTGAAACTTTATGTTTGGATGTTAGTAATACAGTTCGGTGAGGTTTACTCATAGCACTCATAGCCCCGCTCAAGGGAAACCCTGCGTCGCGAGTGCCATGGACACACAAATAGATAACCACAAATTACACCCAAACTCACGAACATTACAAAAATTTTTTCCGGTCCGGTAATCGAACCCAGGACTTCTGCTTGGCAGAACAGCATGGTAACCGTTCGGTCATCGTCATGTGCATCGGTGTAATTGTTTAATTAAAATAACAAACCCTAGAGCTCGTTACTCGTTATTCTCAGTTAACAATTAAATGCGTAATTAAATGTATACTGAATGTAGAATGTTTCACCATGACGATATTTGAATTTTTATTCAAATTGATTCTAATCCGGCCGGATCGATGGATTTTTTCTAATTGTTCGATCTTTGTATCAACAATTATAGTAAATTAATGTTGTAATTTCACAAAAACTAATTGAATATCATGGTAGTGAAACGGTCTAACATTCAATAAAAATTTAATTACAGTTAATAGCGACATCTAGTAGCCAGGGCTGGCAGCTGTGAAGGCACCTAACTGGGTGTCGAAATACTTTCATAGATTTCTCATAGATGGCGCTACGGCTAAAAAGTCGTTGAAAACCAAATACAAAGATCCGACAACAAGCACATAGAAAAATTCGTAATGTCCGCCGCTAGTTCATTCCGCGACTTAGTTGGCATAGCGTCTCGGCCGGATCGAAGGGATTTTTTCTAAGTGTTCTTCTTTATTAATAATTATAAGAAATTACAAGCGTAATTTGTGTATACATTAAAAAAAAAATTGAAATAACTTGATGAATTTTCATAATCAATGAATTAAGTCAGCCGACATACATCCACTGCTGGACGTAGATCCGCCCAATCATTGCAATAAGCACCGGAATTGCGCTGCTCACACCCAACGGCAATCCGCAATTTTCACCAAATCGTCTGTCGTCAATGGGTTTTCATATACATTGCGTTTTCACTCCAAAACTTTACACCATCGGCCCCGTCCATCTATTCTACGAGTAATGTGCTCTCATACTTGCAAATTTCATAATAATTACTTTTAATTATAAAAGTGCTTACGACGGAATCAAGAAAAAAATAATGATGCTTAAAAATCTCACTCAAAATAACAATGCCAAAAAAGTTTTTTGAAGTAATCTTTCAATGGCGGTACTTGGTCGTCTATAAAGAGTACAATAACAATAAAAAACTGAAACACTAGGAATTTGATTATTTGTTGAGGAATGGAACAGAGGACATCTGAACACGTTAATACAAAATCCAGTATACCGGGAATAGTGTCAGAATTGGTACCATTGTTATTTAGAACCCACTCGATTTACATAAATGCAAATATCAAATCGATTTGTGAGGTTATGTATACATTCATCGAAAGGACTCGTTATCATTGGAAACTGGATTTGGGAAACTTAAAAACCACTAATCATAACTCCATTGAACGTTGGAAATTGCGCCTGTCACTCTATGAGACGTAAAGTTGACAAATTTTCCCAGAACCCTTACCGTTCAAAACCGAAATGCAGTAATGCTCTGCTTGGCGGCAGAAATAGACAAAGTTTCCGGAACGAAATCTTTTATGAGACTTAACTTATTGAAAACTATGTACTTATCATACACCGTTGTTTTTGTTTTCATTATTTATTCTCGCAACCTTCAAAATGTCGTTGGTCTTCCGGTATGTTGTCACCCACCACTTGAAAACTCTTTGGTCCCATCGGCTGTCTGTTCCACGAGCATTAGTCAGCGATTAGCGAGTTCAGAGCGAGAAAAGCAAAATGTGTACATATAGTAATACAGCTTAAATCTAGTTCGATCGCACAAAGTGTAAACAGTATAATGACAATTCTACGAAGCGTCCTTTCACTCGAGTCACTGCGGAAGACGACGACGCGTTTACACGACTCTATTCAAATATTTGTTAAATATTCTATTTCCATGCTTAGAGGTTTGAATGTTACTGTTTTAATTCTCGATGCGAAAAGACCTCGAAGGTCGTTATAAGTTTGAAGCTATTGTCCTGTGCATTTGTGTGTCTGTCGTATCGTAAGCACATAAATATATAGCCAATGGGTCCGAACATATGTATATGGCGAATGCGTTGCAAAGGAGACTGTTTTTTTCTTTCTTTTTTTATATTATGTAGGCAGCAAGTATTCGGGTGCTGAATCGTGCGGGATCTCAAAGCAGTATTTTTGTTTGAAATCAATCGGGGTGATTCGTAACTATGTTTGATAAACATTTGTACAGTTGTTTAAAGATCATTAGTTCTTTTCCGATTCAAGCGTGAAATACACAAAGAACGGGTGCGGATCGGGCGCGTATCGGGTCGGGACCGCGGCGGGTCTAATTCCGTTTCACGTTTAAAGCTCTGAGTAGCACTGCGACTGTCATGGGTAGGTGTGTCACTTACCTCCAGGCGCACGACTTGTTCGTTCCTTCGCTTGTTATCACAAAAAAGTTTACGAATTTTCATGAACATCACACATACTTTTATCACATGAAAGTAATAAAATACTTAGTATATAAAACAAATTATATGTATGTGAAATGTTATAACTTTCCTATTTAAACATAAAAAAATAATCGACTAATTTCGTTCGTAGAATCTTTAAATCTCTCTCGTGAAAAATTGCCACTTTGCAGATGCGACCCTTTTACGCCAAGGTACGTATTATTATTTTCCGCATCTTTATAAAAACTTATACGCCTTGACAAATTCAATGGAGAGACATATCCATCGAAAGTGACGCTTTGTTTTGCTGTACCTGACGGTACGACCGTACCAGAGCATATATTCTGCCGTCTTAAAATATTTTTTTGAGATATCATAAAAAATCATAACCTAGTTTTAGAACATTGAAATTGTTTAATGATATTTCAGCTATGCATCTTTAGGGTAAGTTCCGATAAGTTGAACACGTTAACTAATTTAACTGTTTTTAACCAACTTCAAAAAAGGAGGAGGTTCTCAATTCGACTCTATGTTTTTTGCATATATGTTACGCGATAATGCCGGTATTTGTGAATCTATTTTCATGAAATTGTTGGAAAGGGGGGAATTCCATAGTGGTCCCATTATATTTTGAAGAAAATCATCCACCTCTAAGGGTGGCTGTTCACGTATAAAGATAAAGATTCATTTTTATAAATATAGCGCCTAAATTTTACTTAAGGAGTAAATATGTTAATGGTTGATTTTGCTATTTCCCCAATTCAAGGCGTTTTTCTCTCAATATACTTTGAGTAGTGAGAAACGATTTTTATTATCTCCAGTGTCAAGTCCTGTATAGTGGCGAATTTAAGGATATTTCAATAAAACTTAGCAAATAGACGTAATTCCACGTACTTTTGACGTCGGTTTTTTATTACTCTGTACTGAGATTATTAAAAGAGAATTTTGTGCTCTATCTTTTGTTGTTTGAAACGGATATTTGACCATTTACCACTTAGCCGCGTGTTAGTTAGTGGACGGCTGTATTACTGTTATATCTTAACCTCTATTAGACCGTACACGCCCGTAAATTCCAGCCGCGTTATTTCCCACTAGATTTATGCTGCCTAAAGTCTTTGCCCTCTCCTTAGAGAGGACCAATGTCCTTGTGAGTTCGTAATGGTAAATTGACGTATAGCTAGAGGTTATAAATAAGAAAACTCTTTCTTCTTTTGAGCATTGTAGAAAACTACAAAGGGATGAGTACTTGAGCAGCATGGTCTCCTCTTTAATTGGTTTGGAGCGTGTTACAAAAACAATTTCTGCTTTTTATCGTATCAATGGCATACACTATAATGTTGCCATCGTCGTGGCGAAGGATTTACAAATCGGCGTATGGTACATATGGCAAATACAGTTCAATTACAGATAGCAGTCACAGAAGTGACAATATATTATATTAATGAATAAACA